AGAGTTAATGTTTCAAGTAAGTTTCAGCTTAAAGCCTTAAAAAAGAGAAAACTGATAATAAATAAAAATTTATGGCTTACGAAGAAATAGCAAGAAGTTAATAGAGAAAAGAACTTGATATTTACTTGAATAAATTAAAAGAAATGAAAAAGTTATGATCTTCTGTTGAACATGAACACTGATACGTTATGGGACTCTAATAAATATGAAAATAAAAAAAGCTCGAACTTTACTTGAAGGAAGTAAGAAAGACCTAAATAGTAGTCAAAAGTGGGCTGGGAAGGATAAAAGTACTGAGAGAAATAAAAGAGACCGAGAAAGAAAAAAAACTAAAAAGCTCATTTGGTAGAAAACTAAGGGAAGACAAAACGTCTAATTTTTCACTAAATTGTGCAAAACTAAGAGACATTACAGACATTATTTCTTTTGTTTCAAACAGGCTGAAAAATACGAGACTGAGGTGTCAAACTCGAATGCATCATTTTCAACTTTTTATTTTGCACTTTGGAAAATGTAATTAGTAAATGCAGACTTTTAGAAAATGCCTATCGATTTTGCTTGACAATGGGGTCACAAAGAACTAGTGGAAATTCTCGAACGTGCCAGTCGGAAACAGTAATCACGCACTCGCACCCGTATTTAATTCTACTCCTTCTTAAAAAACAAAAATCCTTCTTGATGCCTAGGATTTTACTGGCTGAATCAGTGTTTTCGAGCGTGTAGGATTCGCTGTTGCCCGTCTGTAGTGAAATCGGGTAGAGGCTGTTTTCGTTGCCATTGTACTTCTTATCAGTGTTCTGCTAAAAAAATTTTTTTTGAAGATTTATTTTTTGTATTATTTTCTGTCTGACTTGCCTAATCCGATAAAACTTGAAAAAGCATGAATAGTATAGGAAGTTGCAGTAGCGCAAAATCTGGTAATGTGTTAAAACGTTTTATCATAAAAAATATTTCTCCGTAAAAAAATTGGTAATTTACGGACAAATTTTTACTGACCATATGTTTCTCTTGGACCTCAGTGAAGGGTCCTCTCAGTTATGCGAAATGAAAAATAAGCTAATAAATTAAATTTTCAAAGCAGTTTATTATTTTGTCAACACTTATCAGTTATTTTTAGAAGCTGCCGTTTTGCTGACGGATATTTCGTGGCAGTGAATGTACATTTATAGAAAAAAACAATTATTTATTTTAAAAAATGTGGCTAGTCGTTTTTTTGAACATAATTTTCTTTCTTTTTTCACCTTCTGGTTGTGAACTATTTTCGCTCACTCTCTTAACCACTGCTTTGGTAAAGCTTTTAAGTGACAATACCTTTAAAAATCTATGGGTTTGGAAACAGTTAAGAGTATAAATTGTCCCAGTAATATACTTTTAAAACAGTCATTTGAGTTTGTGCTGTGAACGAAACAAGATTACAGTTGCTTTACGTGCCACTCTCCATTTCCCTAAATTGAAAACGTTTTGATCTTATATGTAAATGAACTGTTTACGGAAAGAAAACGATAGATGTTTACTTTGTATTCTTTGACTATTAAATGTATATTAATGTGATACTTTGCAGGCAAAAAAACGTGCTGTTGGTTAATCAGTTATTTTAAAAGTTATATGCATTTTTGCGCATGTGATTGTAATTGATTATATATGGTTTTAATAATTGTATGTTCGAGTTGAAGGCTACTGTAGCGCTCGCTGGCTTAATGGTTACACCACCGAATATGTGCTCAATTTTCAAGCAATTTCGGATGAAAAGACTGATCTAAAAGGGTTAAAATTGTGTAACTTTTTCGCCTAAAAAACAGGTTCAACAATATAATACAGTACTGTCAAAATGCATTAATGAAGTTCCCCATATGTATATCCTTCTGAAATTTTTAAACCAAATAAAAAAAATTGCAGTTTTTAATGTGTGAAGCTCTTTGTCGGTTTCAAATGCTTTATGCGCACAGAATCATCTATTTAGATATAACTGGGCTACTGTTTTTCTTATCCTTCTAACGCTGAGAGTGGTAGGTTAAAAGACCAATCAACGAGAGAATGACTTTAAAACTTCTAAATAAAACGAAATTGTGTTCATAAAAAAATACATATCAAATGCACTGAAAATTTAATGATTATCAAAGATAAAACATTTTCGTAATTTGCTGATTTCGCACCAAATACGAGTAGTCGAAAAAAAAGACAAAGCAAAAATGAAAACAACCTTTTATACAGCATTAATAATTAAGCTTCACAATAATGAACATCAAACCGACAAAATATCTAAGTTCCGTTAATCATGAAACCAGCATAATTTTTGGTTTGAAGAAAAAAGAGAACTGAAAACTATAACAACGAATCAGCTTAACTTTTCAAACAATAATTGAACAGTAGCGCACAAAAGAACAAATAAACTAAGTTAATGTATCAAAAAGAGATCAGAAAATATAGGCCTAAAGAAAGTTTGAAGTGCAGATATTAGTTTTCAGCGAGAAAGCGCGGTTACTGAAAAATAGACATCTAACAGCTTTTATTGGTGTTATTATTAAAAAATACGGAATAAACTGAACACGGTTTTTGAAAGAATGCAACAGTTACTGACGAGAAATTAGAAGATGAAAAAAGTGGTTCTCCCAAAAAACGTTGATTTTGCCGGATAATAATATCAAAGCTATGCCCACAATTTCTGAATTTTTCCCTCCTATCATGAATATCTTCTAAATTTTTTACTGGAAAGAACGAGCACTTTTGCTGCGTTGCTGATGTTTTTCAAATTACTTTTTGATAAGGTAACATGGAAGAAGTCAAATAAAATCAAACAATCAAATTGATGTTTTTCGTCAAACGCCGATTATTCGAGCTTATTGCTGCTATTTCTCCTTTCAACTGATGAAGAACGCTTCACATTCTGATGAAAAAACCAGACCATCATCAGCACTGCAGATCTGATAAGATTTTGGCTGAAACAGTGTTGGACGGTTGACAAGTTGCAACTGCCGGGATTGAATAAACAGTTTTATTTTCGTAACAACTTCGAGCTAAAAATAAATACTTTATCTGGTCTAGGCTTCAGTTAATTTCAAAGGAGACCAGAATTTTAGGAGGTCAAAGAATAACTTGTTAATAGTTGGAAATGTGATCCAACAAGTTGTCATTTAGCCGAACGTTTTCTAAAGACCTTATTTCTGTAAAACCTTTCTTATTTTTTTTTCTTTGGTTTCCTTCACTAAGGGCTTAAAATTATCTTTGTGAAGTTTAGCGTTTTAGACGAATATGCTTTAGAGGTCTCTTCTCCAAACGAGTGAAAAACTTTCGGTAAATTTCAGCCGGAAAACATGTGTCAGACACCTTATGACCAAATGACTAAAATAAGGTGCAATTACCCAGTCCACATAATCATACTACTTACCAAATTATGTTACTTTTGGAGTCGCTGAAATTTGGCTTAACAGAACCATAAACCAATGCAGAGGAACATTTTTGGCAAATAATCGAATGGTGCTTTCTTAGTTGTTACGAACCGCAAAAAAGGTAACAAATATGACCAGAACAACGACATCAGGTCAACACTGAGAGAGTCCTTCAGTTTTTTCAGAGAATTCCCTTAAATCAGTTTATTCTTTCGTAATTGTCTCGATAGCTTGTCTGCATTGACCGTCTGTGTAGTTAAAGTGATGCGGCACTGGTCGCTGTCAGAAGGAACCTAATAGGCCGTAGAAGGTGGAATACGCAAAAAACCACTCTTTAGCTTCAAAATAATAAAATGTTACCGTAAAAGTTTCATTTTATTTTTTGTCCCACTCACTGTTTCCTACTCCAGTAAGCTGTAGACTTCTGGTCACAACATACAATAGTAATGTTGTTTGAAACTGAGAAAGTACTTCACTACTAATTAGCATATTTTCACTTCGTTTCTCCCCGGCAGCCCTCTATTCTTTGTTCCTTCTTTTTCTTTTTTCCTATCAATCTGCTTTATGTCAGTGAACTTGAGGCCAAATTAACTTCGTTAGATCAATGCAAGTAAATTTCAAAGAAGGGTGTAGTAATTCACCTTATTAGATCAGCATAAAAAGTAAACACCAAATGGCAACTTCTTTTAGGCTGTCCATCTGGCATTTTCGCCAAATACAAAAAAAGTTTTTAAAGCTTCTTGCGAAGTTATTACCGTCCGCAACGCTCTCTGTTTCCTTTCCAGTTCCATTACTTGAACTTCACTCTTAGTAGTAATTCTGCTTAAACAGTTTCACCTAACAGCAGCCAATCAAGAAAACCCCTTAATCTCATTTTGTAGTAATTGCCCGTAATACAAATTCTAGCCTGTCTTTTCTACGAAGAAATAAGGACGACTTATCGGTGACAAAAAGAAAATCAATTTATGGGATGGACGTTACATTCTGCTATCAGCACCATTTCAGACAACCTGAATAACTTTCAGGAATGATCAGTATATTGCTGCCTTTAGCTGATTACGGAGAGAAAATCCTCAGCAACTTAAAGAAACTACATTAGTAAAATGAAACTTCGAAGACAAAAACTTTGGCTAAGATTATACAGGAGGCGGTACCGACCAAGTTTTTCCTCTAGAACTTCTAGATAAAGCTTATCCTATGGGAAAATCAAATGTTTAATGAGTTCTTAAAAGTTTTGTATAAAACTGAGCTGTAAAAAACGCTGTACGGATGTAAGTTTGCCGTGTAACTTGACCTCCCTTAAATAAACAGTATCCTAAGTCCACAGATGGAAAGGATGCTTTATGAGCGATCACTGTCAAAGAACTAGAAGAGAATGCAAAGTTTAACATAAAATTTCGGAACTGGCAGTTTTCCAACTCGCATGAGAAATGCGTGTTATACACGGATTGGAGAAGTTGCTGCACCTTCTCATCTCCAAATTCAGAATTTGTCCTCGAGAATCCGTTTCCATAATTGTTTATTAAATGCGTAGTTTCCTTATGTCAAAACTTATAACCGAAACCTCTAAACTTGTAATATCTAATTTGCCATTTGTTATGTATTTTTTTTAGTATGCAGTTTGAAGAAATTGTGGAATATGACAGAACTGATGATGTGAAAACCGACAAAGAGTTTGGTTCGTTGATGCTTTCTGAAAGTTCTTTGCGTGCCTTGGCAAGAGCTGGTTACATATCACCATCTCCTGTACAAGTTCAAGCGATACCGATTGGACTTCTTGGATTTGGTGAGCCTCTTTTAATCTTAATCAACTGCAAAAAGTTTCATTTTTTTTTTTCATTTTTTTCAGTCGTGTATTCTTGGATGTTTTCATCTGAGCACTTTTTGATTTTGATGAAAAGAATGTTGCCTAGTCTGCTTTCTTTAATCACATTTTTTCACTGAATTTCTTCTGTTCAAAGGGTATGTAAAAAGCCATAAATTTCTCAGTTTTCAGACATCCTTGTTCAAGCAAAATCTGGGACGGGTAAAACACTGGTTTTTTCTTTACTGGCTCTCGAAGGAATAAATGCTCAGTCGAACGTTCCGCAAGTGCTCATACTAACACCGACACGAGAGATTGCTATACAAATATGCACCGTAATCACTCGTTTAGCTCCTCGGGTTGTTCGTGTACAGTTGGTATTTTTATATATTTATTCATGCGTTTGTTTTGATTTTCCCTATATATGCTCTTAGCGTCATTTGTGATTTAGTGCATTTTTTGGTGGCGAGAAACCTCTTAAAGAGGATATTGGTGTATTAAGAAAAGGAGTTAACATAGTTATTGGCACAAGTGGGCGTCTTTGTCACCTTGTGTCTATTAGGGCACTAAATACTTCAAGCATTCGACTCTTTGTTCTGGATGAAGCTGACAAGTTGATGGATGAAAACTTCCAGAAGGACATAAAGTTGGTGCTTTTTTATTCTAATACCATGGTGCTCTGTGGTTTAATAATTTGAAAGCTCGCTTTAGATTTGAATAAATCATTCTTGTTTTGAAATTTATTGGAATGTTATTTCATTGTTTATTTGCAGTTTCTTATTTTCTTGCTTGCCTTCAGAAAAGCAAGTTGCGGTGTTCTCAGCGACTTATCCTCATAATATTGACTCAATTTTGGCACGATATATGAGAAGTTGGCAGTTGTTTTTTAATTCAAAGATTTAGGGTTTAATCTACATTTTTTAATATTATGTCTTCGAATGTTACCCTGATTTTAGAATGGACTTGTTAGAATTTATCTTTTGTAAACTCTTAATTGGTGTCGTTGAGGTTAAGCGGGTAATGGTTTTTTAGACTCTCGCTTGATACGTGCGGGAAGCGCTGATGTTCAACTTATTGGGATAAAACAGTTTGTTATAATACGTTACGCCAAACATGCCAATGATTCGTTGGCTACTCTGCTACGTTCAATTACGTTTACTCAGTGTATCATTTACGCAAATGATCATATCAGGAAAGCATTTGTTGGCTTTTGCTTCTACATTTCTTGTTAGTTGTTAGATTTTCGTTTTTTAACCAACTGTGTGTGTTTTTAGATGTAAGAACGTTTATGATTTCTTGTCAAATGAAGATTTTGATGTTGCGTTTATCTCTAGCGCGATGGAACAAAGTGAGCGAAATAAGATAATGAAACAGCTGCGGAACTTTGGTGTTAAAATTCTTGTTTCGACAGATCTCGTGATTTTTACTTTTCTTCTTATCTTTTTTTTTTCTTTGAAGTTTTGGTTTATGGAGTATCCCACGTTGTTTCAAACGTCATCAGAGTTTCATACAACGGTTTTTGTAAATTGCACATGCAAGATGAATCTAGGTTCTTTATTCTGATATCGCATCTTGCAAATATATGCTCTCATATATTTTTATTTTATGTAGTTTATTTTATCACCTCATATACATAAAAGGCTTTCCCCCAAAAGACTCTTATGAATTAATTTACTGATTTTTTTAAAATTTCATTTTCACGGCTCGAGTGAGTAGGTTTGATTTTTGTAAGATGATTTTTTTATATTGTTATTTCAGACTGCTAGAGGTATTGACGTTGGAAATGTTAATGTGATAGTAAACATGGGTGCACCGTTAGACTGCGAGACTTATTTGCATAGAATTGGACGTGCTGGTCGATTTGGTTAATTGTTTTATACACTGAGATTTGGATTTTTTGGGGGTAGCATTCTGGTCTAAAATTTTTTTAATACATTCTCCTGTTTTTACAGGTGGTTACGGGGTTGCTTTTACAATTGTTTCATCGTTCAAAGAAGTTCGGCATTTCACTGAATTAGTTAAGGAAGAAAATCTGCGAGTACGATTGCTTCAACTTGACGAGCAGTTTCCTCCTGACTTGTCTCAGAATGATACTTATTATTCATCCTGCGTCGAGTTTAAAGTGATTTTTGAAAATTAAAATTTTTAAACAAACTCTTCCTTTTTATTTCCGATTTCTCGTAAGTACGTTTTTATGTTTAGAATATGTTCATTCTAGGTTGATAATCCAAAGTCAAAGAAAATGTTAAACAGGAATGGTACCCAGGAGACAGTTATTTCTTGCACTGACTCTAGTAAGAATGTAGAATTATTTTCAAACACGGTCATGGATGATCCCAAATCGGATCATGAGTTGGTGCTAAGAAATAGTTTGTATGACAACTTAGACAATCCTTTGGCTATTAATCATGTAAGTGTTCGTGTGAAATCATTTTTATTTATTTCACTATTTTCTAGTATCTCTTCGTAAACTGTGCTCTATAATCTCTTCCGGTTGAAAATGAATGAAGAAATTTTGTTTTTAGGCTATTAAGTTTTGCTCGCTGATTGGTGGAGAAAAATTTTATTCCAGAAATGAATTGTTATGCATACGGGATCTTCATACGCAACGTTTTTGGCAAACTTATGCACGAAAACTGTTTGGTAAACTTCCTGCGGAAATACGGATTGCGTCAGAAAGCTACTTGAGTTTTTTAAAGGTATTATATTCTCTTCAGAATCTTTAATCACGGTACGTATCTTTTACAGCAAAGTTTTGCTTCACCAGTAGAAGTCATGTTGAAAAATTAATTTCATGTTGAGTTCCCAGAATTAAAATATGCTTGGTTGTTTTACACTTTGTTCCCGAGTACCGCTAAAATTTTATAGACTTTT